GATGCTCAAAGATGTTATCGATTGATGGCACGCCGACCAAAGTTAAGAATTTTATGGTTAGATTTTCGAAGTGTGCCGCAGGCGCAAACTCTACCGAATAAGGTTGAAGCTAAAGAACGTTTCGAAATGATTAAAAATCACGCGCAGCAGTCAATGAAAATGCATGACTTTGTTAGTAATATCATTCCAGTGCACACGCGTTATTGTCGTTTGATGTTTGAAGCAAATAAGAAAAAAGGACGAATTCATTGTTCCATTCATTATTCTTTTCATGGTCCGCACGTGGCACGTGCTTATATGCGCTGCCCTCGCCTTCCTTCTATTTGTGTTTTGTTATGCTCGTGTCGTTTGGTCTGTTTGCGGACGTCTAAATGGCGTGGATGACTCGCAAAGTAGGCTGTGATTTTCATTAATCATCGATTACGCTCTGCGTGTGCACCTACACTCCATTCATCGTGGGGCTGAACCGATGACTTGCGTTTTCGTCTTCAAGACTTGGAAGACTCGAAGACTACTTGAGTGATATGAAATACTAAATGGCCGAAAAAGTTGCAGTGGGTGCAGATTAGGATTTGAATATACGTAGAGAAGAAGAAGAAGAAGAAGTGTCTGGTGCGCGTCTGCTGGTCTGCATTGTGGCGACAGACTACAATGCAATGTGCCTCACCTCTTTTTCCGAACGACACCCATCTGTTTTACATTGTGTCATTAAGGTTTGGAAGATCGACCCACGCGACACCCTTCGCCCGCAAACTTTTGCTTCTTTTACCACGTAGTGACACGCGTCTTTTTTACCTTCAATATAGATACAAATATGTTGTCTATACACCGCAACATAATGGATGAAATTAAATTTAAGCCAACGCAAATTATTATACTTGTCTTTACATTGTGTGCGCGCAACGCACGTGGATAATGAATTATGAATGACGCGCACCGCGTTATTGTCTGACAAATTGAATATTCTTTATTTTTATTGCTCATGTTTTACATGTAACACCAGCATAAATAAATTAGATGCACAAAAATAAAACAAAATTATAGTGTAGCCTCGTTTTAAAGACAAACTCCGTGTAACGGCGAAATTTGGAAAATTTTATTGATTTATATGCATTAACGACTAAAGATATTTACAAATTGCAATGCAAATTTCTATACCTTAAGCACAATTTTTCAGCAAATTTGTTGGGGTGCACGTAATGTTACTACAAAATTTATATTTAGACTTTAAGAACAATTATCCGACGAATTTAAAACCAAGAAAAAATTATATCTCAATGTAAGGACACATTGCTATAACGTGATAAAATGCTACACTCTATATAAATGTCTTTTTAATTTCATAATAAAGGCCTACAAAAGTTGAAAATCTCTGAAGACATTAGGTCTAGACATTGACGTTAATTTGACAACCCCAAGACGTAAATTACCCGAAGAGATAATTTGTAAATGCGTGAAATAACATATATTTACATTGAACGACTATAAACGGTCAAACATTAACCCCAATTCATCCCTTAGAACAAAATTATAAGTTGCATTGCTTCGGAGCGTGAGATTTTCTCAAGAAAGTAAAACAAATCTTAGGATAAGCATGCGCGTAGTGCAGAAGTGCGAAAATATTCAGATGAAGCCACAAGAAGCCAAGCAAGAGCAGCAGGACGTGTATGATTTATAATAGTAAAATTCGCAATTAAATACGTCACCGCCGCGGCCAACGGGCGCGTTATTTACGAGCGGCGTTAACACGATCGAACTTTCATTACTCATAATTATAATTTATATTCGTCCCGTTTGCAATGTTCGCCACAATCTTGTCCGGTGTGCGTGCCTCAATACACGGTCGTGTAAAACTTGTTGAAATATAATTTCAAATGGTTTATTATTTGACGCGGAATATTTTTTAACTGAAAAATAGTCATTTTTTGGCTCTTCTTATTTAATGTTCATGCATCACGAGTCGTGACTTCCTACAAGGTGCATTTATGAATGAGATGTTGAATGCTATTTAAAGTTAAACGAAATTAACATATCGGTGAATGAAATTTACTTTAGAGATTTAAATCATGAATAACGCATTCGTAAACAGTGCCCAAGTGAATATACAGTATTTTATTCTCATCACTTTATTTTCTTCTCGAGTTATCCTATATCGATAATCTTTAATAGAAAACTAAAAACTGACAATTTACTCGCCAAATGATTGAATTAATTAAACATGCAGTTGATTGTGAATACGAAATGCATTTATAAATTATTTATGACTTGGCCGATACAGTTCGGTTCGGTACGACTTGCGGTCACCGAATTTGCCATTCAGATGTGCGAACCCGGGCCAGAAAACCGCGAAAGACCGCCAAAGGTCCTGCGCTGCCATCCCGCAAGAAGTTGCGGTAGAGTTCTGCCGGTGTTACGAGACACACGTGCAATTAGTTTGGCTGCTAGTTTTACGCATGAATTTTCAGGTGCTCTGTAAAATATGCGGTTGTGGTCGCGCTCCGGGGTGAAACTCCAGCTTTTAAGGGTTGCATACTTGCACCATTTGTCGCTAGGTGTCGCTAGGTGTGCGCGAATCGGCACGCGGAAAAAAGCGAAACAAATGATTTGCATTTTTATTGCGCATAAGAACCATGTGAAGAGTGAATTAATTCGATTTCGTTCGTTGTCAACAAATACCTTCGAGTGTGCGTTTTGTTTTTATTTGCATTGATAAGGACATGGCACTTGTTTGGCTGGCTGTTGGCTTAATGACTCTATCGGTTGAGCGTCTATTTTACTTTTAAAGTAGTTTGTTTTGTCCATACTACTCGTAAGATCCTATTAAGGCTGCCTCTGTGCCGAAGCGGTTTTATTTTTAGCCGCGCTGTGTAATTCCATTTGGGGGATGGATTTAACAAGTTGTACGCGGCGACGCATTGTTTGTTTAGTTTCAAATTTGGGCATTAGGAGGTTTGAAGAAAATCTACTTAGGACTGGGATTATCGGGTTTTCGGATTTATAATTAAGGTACGTGTACTTTTGGTACGCCCATCGCTCGTGCTGTTTTATGATCTTGTTTCTTAGATCGGATTTTGAAAATAAAATTTATTGCACCTAGGGGTTGCGCGGGTTTTACCTGACGGTTGGTGAAACTGGACACTTATATCCTGCATCCAAACAAATATCAAAAAAGGGAAACACACCTATTAAATGTGAATAAAAGTACCTATAGTTGCGGTAACCAACTGATATGACAATTTATTACCGCGGCGGGGCGCGACAGAAGCGCGACGATGTCAACAGGAAAAACCGTCCGCACAGATGTTTGCCTCATTTTAATATTTTATTGCTCGCGGCGTAAAAGTGCGGTCATAAATTACGCGCTATTAACGTGTTGTAACCATCACTCCCACAATTTTCCACAAATGCTAAAAATTACAGTATTCCCGAAGGATAACAGGTATAAATGCCGAAAAAAATTGAATGAGTATTGAGCGACCTAACGCAACAATGAGACTGAAAAAAGACTCGTCTTTTCAAAGAGACAAATCAGTTTGCTTTTTTAAGGATGTGAGCAACCGTTTCATGAGAAGCGCCAAGCATAAAAAGAAGAAGAGGTTATCTCCGTGGACTCTTTAGAGGAAGCCTTCACATCGGTACGATAAGAGAGCATTGGGGTCACGTTGAAGACTAGGGGTGCGTTCTACATATATTCTCATCGTGTCGTCAACTCATCGTTGTATTTTATGTGTAGCGCTATTTAAAATTGAAATCATGAAAAAAGTATGAAATCTTAATTACGCCGCCATAATGGCTAGAAAAACGGCGTGTTTTCCATTGTAATCTTTGAAATAATATTTAATTTATTTAGAGCATAAATGATATATTTCTAACGAGCGCGCATTAACTACTTAATTGCCGTGAACGAAAGAGTTTGTTGAATAACGCTTAGTGTGCGAGTTCCGTGCCGAATTCTAACACGCTCGCGCACCCACACTTGCACAGGTATAAAATATTGTAATTAGCGTTGTTGTTTTTCGGTAATTAGCGTGCGCGGCGCGAATTAAGGCGTATTAAACGCGCGATTTTAATTAGTTAATTAGACGGAGATCAAACGCACACCGGAAAATACCAAATTTAAGTTGCAGTTTATTTTGCAATTTTCGGGAAAATAGTTTGTTTGTTTGTTTGAGTGCGAATCATTATAATAATAATAAATCACCCCTTTTGTGGTGTGTGCGCGCGCGCGCGACTTATTAGAGAATAATGCGGTGGAATGCGTCGGGGTGTCTGACGCGATGGGTGCGCATTATGCATACATATGTATTAGCGTCGGGCAAGTGCTAATGCCCCATTGTATTGCAAATTCCATGTTAATTTTCGTGCCGCGCGCGCGCCGCTGCTTTACTACCACCTTTTACTATGTGCGGAGGGCTGTTCAGCCTAGACGTCCTCAGTTGAGTAGAGTTTTCAAACTCTACTCAACAGGTGAATATAATATTAGCGAACACGGTCGTGTTCTGAATTTTCCACGCAAATCAAGTGATTTGTTTGCCGTTCTTGGCTGATGTAGGAGCTGAAAATGCAGTGAAATTAAAATCAATGATAAAATAATGTTCACGTTGGAGTTTGGTGCGAGGAAATAATTTTTAGTGTAATCATTGCATGAAAGTAAAAAAAAAATAAAGGAGGCAGCAGGAATACGGCGCGGTGCGATCGACATCGCGGAAGAATCGGTATGTGCCCGCCGGTCGGCATGTTGCTTAGCTACCGTCCTGCGAGTGTCGTGTAAACACTTCCCCGCTGGTGAGTGGTGGTGGGGGCAGGTTGGGCCTGCGGCAGGCGTGCGAGCCGCAGGAATCCGGCCAGTGGTGCGAGGAGTTGGCTGTGACGTCAGCCGGCTGCCTGCGAGTGCGGCGGGACCAATGGCGCGCGCACTCCTCGAGAGGGGGAGCGCCGACGAAGAGCCGCTGGAGGGGAGCGGCCCAGAGCGCACCGCAACCACCGACCCGGCCTCGCTTCTCCGATCGGCTAGTGCAGTCAGAGACGTCGTGCGTGCAAGAGATATGCATAACGCATGAGAGAGGAGCGTGCGATTTGGCTTGATAGATAGATACCTATACACATATTTGTTGCAAGTGCCGTCCGTGTTCGGTCCTTTCCCGCAACTGCAATGCGCGAGTGGTGTTGAACAGTGCATCAGTTATTGTTGTTGTTGTTGTTGATTGTTGATAACTAAGTGACGGCGTTCGGTGTTGGGTACGGAGAGTTGGGCCGGTTTGAGACGGAGTTGCAACCAAGTGACATCATTGGGTGGGTGGAGAGAAGAGTCGACGCTGGTCCTGTGCGCCCTCAGCAGGGGCTTATGGCGGCGACCACGTACCTGTCTGCTAGCAGCGCGATAACGGCATCCGATTTGGACGGCGGCGTTGGCGTTATGAATATCGTCGGAGGATATCACACAAGCGCGTCGCCGCGGTCGGCGGCGGACGCCAGCGAGATGAAGTACCTGCCGCACCACCACCACCAGCACCACCATCAAATGGCTAGCTCACCATCGCCTAGCGGACATGCGGCTGTTTCGTTATCGGCGGGTAATCCATGGGTGAGTTTGCAACCAGGAGCTGACCCTTGGGCAGCTTCGATGGCCGGCATGCACCATGCGCACCACCACCACCCGCACCAGGATGTGAAACCGCTGAGCCAGCAGGCGGATATGATGCACCACCGGCAGCAGCAACAGCAGAGTATGGGATCTCCGCACGCCTGGCATGCGCCGGTGTCTTCAGCGCACTACAATCCCGGCGGAGCCGGTTCACCTTTACAGCAGTACCATGCTGCCATGAATGGCATGCTAGCGCATCACCAAGGTGCACCACAGCTGCATCATCCCCTGCATCGGGACATGCAAAGTCCGCACCATGCGCAACACTCTGATAGAGACGTTGTCAGCGGCGGCGAGGACGAAACACCCACTTCCGATGATCTTGAAGCATTTGCGAAACAGTTCAAGCAACGTCGCATCAAACTTGGTTTTACGCAAGCCGATGTAGGTCTGGCGCTAGGCACCCTCTACGGTAACGTTTTTTCACAAACCACAATCTGTCGATTCGAGGCCCTTCAACTGAGCTTTAAAAACATGTGCAAACTAAAACCGCTGCTGCAAAAGTGGCTTGAGGAGGCGGACTCTACGACGGGATCACCCACCTCCATTGATAAGATTGCCGCGCAGGGCCGCAAGCGGAAAAAGCGCACGAGCATCGAAGTCTCAGTGAAGGGCGCGCTGGAGCAACACTTCCACAAGCAGCCGAAACCCTCGGCACAAGAGATTACCTCGCTGGCGGACAGTCTGCAGCTCGAGAAGGAAGTGGTGCGCGTGTGGTTCTGCAATCGGCGGCAGAAAGAGAAGCGCATGACGCCGCCGAATACGCTGGGCGGCGATATGATGGACGGTATGCCACCCGGCGCCCACATGCACCCTGGCTACGGCCATCACCCTGACATGCACGGATCGCCCATGGGGCAGCATTCGCATTCGCACAGTCCGCCAATGTTGTCCCCGCAGGGCATGGGTCACCAGCTGACGGCCCACTAGCATCCAGCCCATTGGGCCTCCTTGCTCCATCACAGCGACAACGGCTAGCGCCCCTAGGCGCTTGGACGCTTCCTGGCGCACGAGTGACACGAACTTTTAAGACCCGTCGGACGGGCGACACTACCTCACCTCAACCGCCAGGATGCGCGTCCACCGGAGGACCCAGTGTAAATAGTATAAATTAAAAGATTGTGTGGATAAACGAACTCTCGCTCACTCTCTCTTTCACTCACGACGTCGCGCGAGTAATAAATAAACAGATTAATAAACAAATTGAAAATCGCGCCTGGTGAAGCGTCAGTGTACCTTAAACGAAAACTTTGTACATTTTGTAAATACATTACTATTATTTGAACACTGAATGGACATGCATATAGTTAAAAGTAAACTAATCGATGAACGAAGTGATATATAAAATAATAACAGTTAAGATGAAATGAATATAAACACACACACACACAACAAAGCTGACCAAAAAAGGAAACGATGGAAAGAAAATACTTCACAACAAGCTTTACACCAACATCGGGGGACGGCGTGGAAATGTTCAAACCACGACGAGCACGAGCTGCTGCTGATGCTGCCGCTGCTGGTGCTGCTGGAACAGTAATTATTCACGAACAAACGATTTTGGGCCGATCGTCATCGAGGACCCATGTTCAATTAAGTAAAAATTATATTTAGCGATTATTATAATATATAAATTCACCCAAAATTGTCACCAGTTTTCCAGAACAGCAAAACTAATCGTAAACCATTCGACGCCATCTTTTGTGTTGTGTACCAAAAAGTCATATTTTCAAGCAGTAACTTGCTTTCGTTTAGCGTCGTCAACTTGTTTTTAAATGTTCATAAATAATCCGTACTGTTCTGTTTAATTCATATAGTTTACTACACTGTATTTACTCTGTGAGGATATTTTTCTTTTTGGTCATCTGATAACTGAATAATTGCAACGAAATACGAAAGAATCGCAAAAAACCAACAGAAATCTCTTGTAAACGAAAAAATCATAAGAAATAAAGAAAAAAATACACTTGAGGACATAGAATTTTAATGATTGATGAATATAATATTGATGAGGATTGAATATGTGTATATATTTATTATTATATTAATATTAATTATATATCGTTGTACGGTGTGAAAAAATTAAATCGAAAATGTTTTTAAAATAACCAATCACCCAAGAGCTTTTGTTTTATTTTACAACATACATTATTTCCACTGCGCAAGGTGTGGTGGCAAAGGAGTGACACACGAAATGGGGAGACTTGTTTTCAAAAACACCTGGTGAGTAAAAAAAAGAACGCACACATGACCGAGGAAACAACAACGTTATTTATCTCGATTATTAATCTGCTGCTTTTTACGCAATTACCGTAACTAACATTTTACACCTGTCAGCGTTTTTTTCCGGTGATTAAAACTTAAAAACTTCTTCAGCGCAACATTTATATCGATTATGAAAGTATTAGGCAATTAGATGTGATTTTTATGAAGCGCCATTAAATGTTGTGCGCGAAAAAGTTGAATGAAGATGTTGCATGAATGGAGGACAGCATCTCAATGAGTTTTAAGACTTTTTAACGACCAAATTAGCGTAATTAAGTATAATTTATTTCATCCATTCAGTTTTACACACTCATAATGCCTGTATGTTGTATATTTACCTAGAGATTGAGTGAAAATAATATTTGTGCGCTGCATTTGTTCCTTTTTTTCTCATTTATTTCTGGTTGAAGCCGAAGATGGTCTTCTATCTACCGGAGGAGCCGTGGCCGGTTTGGTGTGCACAACACACTCCGGTGAGCGCGCGGCGGCACCGGCACCGAAAAATTCTCCTGTCACATATTTCACCGTTATTTATATCATCAAGAGCCGCAGCGAGCGAAGCCAAAAAGCCGCACGGAGCGCCCACGAGTCTCGTATAAACACTCTCTGCCTGCGTATACACTCTATTCCTCTTCTTTAAAATTTTTGGACGGATCGTCGGCGCTGCAGTATCATAAAAACGGAATTCGAAAAAAAGTGCACCGAGGCGCGACCGCGGCGCGCATAGAAAAGAATTAAGCCAACTTCTTCTGCTCGGGCGTGTTGTCTTCTCGTACACATAAAATCTCTTCGAAAAACGGCTAAAAAAGAAACGAATTACAATAAATAAGTTCGAAATGAGACGTAAAGGAGACGCCCTCGACGAGAATGTTTGTAATTAAAGCGTTTTTTTGATTAAAAACGAGAAACTCGGACAAATTATTTATGATTTTAATAGCGCTTGATATTAAATATGTTTGACCAGGCCTGATTGGAATGATAATTAATTTTTTTCGTAGCTGAACGCATTCGATGACCCTGTGTGAAGTGTAACTTTATTTGTTTTTTAGTTGGTAATCTTTCTGCATCGGCGCATTTTAGGAAAAAGCATTGTCTTGTCTAGAGGCTAAAAAAAGGCCATAATAAAAGACGATCAAAAATGGAAAAATACAATATGAAGTAAAAAAATGTTTCTTGGAAGGTCAAAATAGTTTTGCAAGCGCGCGCGCGAGCATATTGTGCTGCGGCAACGAAAAAAAATAAATAACATTCAGCCCGGACCGCTCTGGCGAAGGTGAAATAATTGTGTAAAATAGAAAACAAAACGTAGGTGTTGCTTTGTTTCTCATCATCACACAGTGCGCAATGAAAGGACGGCCGCCGATTAATATAAAAAAGCGCGTTTGTTTGTTCATTCATTTGTTTTGAATGAAGCGATTTGCAGATAAAGGTAAGTTAAGAAGACTCTTCGCTCAGGCTAATTGAATGTGATGTGTGTGTTTGTGTGTGGCAAGACTTTTAAATACGTGTGTACGCCGAACACCTCTGGGATTGACGGCTGGCTAAAATGTTTAAATGTCTTCAACGCGTACATTGTCTTAAATTGAAGAAAACTTGTCTCTGGGAACATCCGCGCCATTTCAATAAATGTTTTAATTTGCTGTAAAAACCAACCAACTAGCAGTATAAATCTCCTCGGCTACTTTTTTTCCGTGTAAACAAACAATGAAAACAAATAAAACACGAAATGCAAATAATGTCATCTGTTAACTAAACGCGCCCAACGCCGAACACACTATTCCGGTACGAAGGATCGCTTTCGCGCCTACATTTCAGCTAGGAATATATATATATAGTGAGTGTTGTTCGCTTGAAGGCATTGTGACAGCAAATGCCAAACGCTGCAACTACCGTACTCTTCGTTGTGTGTGTGGTTGTGTGTTTACTCTGGTCGTTATTCGGTAAATCCACAATGACTCTTGCTGCGTATGGCGCACAAAAACGAACAATAGACACTTTTACGCCTAAAACACATCTCCAAAGTTAAAATCTAATTTGCATGTGAAATCAATTTGATGGAAAATGATTAAAATCGCAATTTGAAATATAGGTACGAGTGTATGATTTCCAATTTAGTAATATTTTTACGTAAAAATCGGCTGCATTTCAATTTGGCGGTGTTTTATGCGTGTAAGTACACATTGCGGTCGTTGTATTTTTATTAATGCATATCGGCTGTTTATTGATTTGGGCGAATGCAGCGTGGCGGGCAGCAATCCGCGATTAAAATTCACCCCGACCGCCGGCGAAAACCAATACGTTATTGTGTCCCCATGCGTTTATAAATATTCAAAAATCGGCAAATAATGAACTGCCGCGCGGCTTCGGCACAAATTCGTTACATTTTGATTTTTAATTGCGGAAACATCCTCACAAAAACAGTTAGTCGTAAAAAATACGGTAGGTAGTACTCGAGTTTATCGTTACTTTGTCCCTCATAAACTAATTCAAGCGCGGTATACGCCTAATTATGCCACACTATGGCTTTTATTAAGAGAAATATTGAACTTACTTTTGCTTTGTTACGCATGTGGAACAGGCGACAACATTCTGCGGGTGAAATCGAATAAGGGCAGCGGCGGCTCCGGCTTTAGCTGATCTAATCACCGAGCTAATCTAATCGCTCTCATTTTTTTCTATTCTTTACACACACTTCACACGACACTGGCCCGGGGTCGGGCGGGAATGTCTTGATTCGTCAACATGAATTAAACACACAAAAATAACCATAAGGGTATACTTATTATATAAATAAATTGATGCATGCACCAGTGTCAGTTGTAGCGGTCGATTTTCCAATAATTGTCTTCGTCAACATTCGAAAACGATCAATTTATGCGCTCGTCGAAACATTTCCTCCTGATTGGTTAGTTCTTTGCGCTGCCAGACGCATCCGCAGGACAAACGCGTTTGCGCTTGTATTTTCCTTTTCCTTATTTACTATCGGAATTTTATAATGAGTCATAGTTCGAATCGCTCGGCGTAATTTCGCGGCGAGCAAAAAATACCATCCATCTCGCACACGCTCGCCCAGGAGACAAGATTTACTCACACACACCACATTGTGCTGCACAATGTACGCGGCGCCGCGATTTTCGTGTGCGCGGTGCAACATGCGCCTTTATTGCTCGCATTCAATTCGCGAAATGACATCTCTTGTCAGTGCAGTTTATGGAAGTATTATTAAAATACAAGCGCGGCCGTCGTAATTAATCGAAATTAAAACAATCTAATTATCTTGTCCTATTAATATTCTACGAATGGACGACAATTTCGCAATCACGCATAATTGTGCGCGTAATTATTAATGATGTGGCTTCAACCCGTCGCGACAAAAATGCGACCCTATGATAAATTTGCTTATTTGTTTCGAATCACATTAATATAAATATAAACTTTCGTGATTTCGTTTTGTGAAATTTAACTTTTACTTTCCAACAATTGTATCAATTGTTTATTTCGCCTGCTCATACGGCGTGTAATAATTTATTACATGTAAGAAAACGCCTTTTGTGGATTGCACTGTAGACGAAATCGACGGTTTGCATGAAAACATTTCCCGGCGGTGCCGGGAGCGGCTTCTGTTCGTGTGTTGCGCTCCTACGCGTTCCACACGCTACGAAAATTTGCACCACATACGAGGTGTTCATTTTTTCCGCGCACGTTTCTCCTTGGGCGGAATGCGCGCACCCCTGTTGGAGTGTGTTAGACTTAAATAGCGTTTGGTAAACTTTTGCCAATCACGCTATTATTGCAATAGTGGAAACTGCTCGGAGCGCAATAGAACGAACGCAATGCCACACCGTGGCTAATCATCATAATGACGGCGCGCGCGGCACGCAAAAATCTATTAATTGTGATGCATAATTTTTGCTGCAGGAAAGGGTGGATTCCGCACGCGCACGCGGTGTGATTGACACGTGACAACATAAATGCGTTTTTGGCAATTATTGCCGCCGCTTATTTTATATGCAGATGCATTTTACGCGTTGGAATGCAACCCGAAAATATGTATATAAGGAATAATAAAGAGAGAAATTATCCTGCAATGCAAATTCCCAGACGCTAACTATTAAAATACTTATTTGAATATTTGAATCCAATCGAAAATCGAAGCCCTCCAGCTTTACAGCCTAATTTTCCAAATCTACATTTTTAAGTAGCCCCGAAACAATTTGCCCTGCCTTGCAAACAAAAATATTTACTGCAACTACTAGGAGATGTAGGCATTTGTGCGGCCGCAACATATAATTAATACTGCATGCGTAATTAATTAATTAATTAAGACCCTGATTGACCGTTTCGTGCGAGTGCCACGGCCATCGCCGGCTGCTAACGAATTGGGTGCGTAGAAAACATGCGTGCAACGCCTACACATGAAAACAATATTATTATTAATTAGCGAAAACGCGCGCGTGTGAGTGACAAGCTGAAAGAGATTTTCACCGATGATAATCGTAGAAAAAAGCGAAGCTTCGTGCATAAACGTGTGTAATGTGTAGCGCGGCGGATCGGCGTTATTGTTATTGCGATTTTTATTATTATGAAACGCATGAGCATGGAAACGGCGCAAGAAAATGGCACTAAGATTGCGTATTAAGTAATAGCATCAGTGCGAGTGTGAGTGCGTGTTGCGCGCTCGCTTAATAACGATCTTCAAGTAACTGGTTAATTAAGTCGACTTGCGAAGAGCAGAGAAAAATCGCAATTATAATTAATACGCGTATGCGAATGTGTAATACATATGTTTATCCCTAATTATTTATTCCGATTCTCGGATGGCTCGAAGCAGCCGCAAGGACTG